ACTGGTCGCGCATTGTTTTTCGATTTCTGAGCAAGAATGTTTTTCTTTGAATTCAACAATTGGCCGCATTTTTCGATTTGCGCTGCGAGATTAAGATAATTGCAGCAGGATAAAATTAATTACGAATTTTAAAAGAAGTTCCGCATCCGACTGGTGGTTAGTAGGCGCTCATTCGAGCTGATGAAAACCTTTTCCGAAGCAGGGAGAGGATAAATCCATTTCAGTAGTCTGGCAATGCGTGCAAATCGTTTTGATCTAGTTTTTGTAGAAGTGCTAATTGGTACGGAATGAGATATGTCTTGCTTAAAAGTTTCCAAATGTGGAATGTCCTTATTCTTTTAGAAAATGTACGTAACCACAGTGACAAATGTCGACCTCTGTTTAGACGGGTTACGACGCCACCATAGCATTAGACCATGTTTAACGCAGGATTTCCCCAACGTTGACCATTGAAGTGAGTGCTTTCTATTTTCTGATGTTATGCCTTCAACGGCAGCTGCCCGTTTTTTGGTCTAACCCATGAAGTATCCATTACTTTCTAAGATAGATGGGACCATGAAAGGATTTCACAATATTCCTTCAAAAATTTATATTGATGTTCTTAAGCCTTCGGTTGGTAATTGCGACCTGCTTTTGTGCGAACAACCTTGAAGGGCACATGGAATTCAATTTTGCTCAGTTGCGGTGCTTGAACATACGTCACATCAAGAACGGACATCAGTTCATGCCAATATGGACTGAAACTGATTCACTGTTCAGCCCATTTCGACAACTTTTTTTTCACTGATTAATGAGCCGGTCATAACCATTGGATCGAATGTAGAATATTAATCATGCTGTCATTCAGCCAGCAATTAATTATGAAGTTTTAAAATAAGTTTTGTTAGCTTATTCACCAAACAACGGATTGTAAATTCGACAGTTGGACTTTCAGCGTTTTCGGCGAAAAGCTAATGTATTTAACGGTACGCTGTCTCGTGTAGTGAGGCGTTGCTCGCCTTAAATTGAGTGCGCTGCAGGTAGGCTGAGTTCAGTTGTTTCAAGCGCTAGACGGTGATGAGGATTTCTATGCACGGTTCGTTAAGCGATAGTCTTCCATCGTTCTCGTTCTCACCATCACTTGTGTGAACCAATGGATTGAGAAGCACGATCCTCATAAGTTACCTTCCGTTGATATTTATACTTGCTGATACTTTTTGTAGTCTGTTTGAGATTCAAAGTGACGAACTATCCTGAATGACAACGTTTTCCGTTGCCATTCCACGCTGTTAGTATTTGTGACTGTTACTAATGCCCGCTACAAGTCGTCTGTGCTACATCAATGATGGCTGTAATGCAATCCAATCGATAGCTTCATGCCATCAGGGAGTGAAAAATGAGGAACTTGTGTCACTGGATCAGAAAGTTGCATCTCAGCGGTCAAACAAATGTCAAGAGTCAGTGGCTGTGAAGGCTGGTAGGATCTATCAAGTACCATGATTCAATAAAGAAGATAATTTGCTTCTCGCTGGGTGCCTCCGCATACTCTCATTTTCTCATTGGGACAGGCGAATACAGAGCGCGGTTGGAAGGGTTCAATGGCTCTGTTGGCTCGATACAGCCACATTCGTTTATCACTGATAGACGACACCCGTGTCAACGCTCCAGCTGGTCAAGTTTGTGCAGTTGGATCACTAGCCAATCCGCTGCTGTAGATTATTCGAAGGAAGCGTAATCCATTGTCATTCTATAATCCACTAGTTATGGGGTTGGGACGTAAGCAGATTGTCTTCGCTTCTTTGCGGGACTCTTCCTATCCCATGGGGCTGCGCATGACTGAAATTCGCGGAATAGCATGCACCGTAATTAGCATTTTTAATATCGTATGGCGTTGACGCATGACCAGGAGGTTCTTAGAAACAACAGACTGCAACCTCAAAGCTTTGCACGGCTATTTTATTCGTGAACTCTGAGCGAGCGCACTGTCTTTCAAAAATATGCCAAGCTGCTGTAAAAATAAATTTTATCGATGATTCTCACTGACAGAATGGAAGATTCTCACCTAATGAAAGAATAACGGTATTTTGTTGATGAAGATAATTTTTCCACGTCAAGTCTTAGATAAACCCCCCAAAAAAGTTTGAGACCTAACATCGGGCAATATTAATTTGGAGCTTCATGCTTTCAAATCTATTGGCACAAACAAGCGAGAATAACGGAAACATATCTCTTAACATGTCTTTCAATTAGGTGCGTGTTACAATCAGTCAAAACAGTTCACTGCTTGCATTAAAGGAAATAGCACCCGAGGATAACACTATCTAACATTTAATCGCTAACCAACTGGTAATAACAAAATACATATAATGCGCATGAACAAACGAAATACACAATAATGAAACAGTGAATAAAGAATGATGAACATTTAATGCAGATAAATATTTTAATGTTTATGTTAACATGAGAGGATTGATTTGAGCAGAACCAGCTCTGCCGTTTGTAGTTTTGCAAAGTTTGAGTCATTTTCAGGGTCACAGCCTTTCTGTATGCTTCAGTTTTGGCATAAATGCCGACTTTGAGACCTTGTGGAATGATACCAGAGAGTGCGTTTTGAGAGAGTCTGGTGCAGGAAATGGCGAAGATCGACTAGGATAGACCAACAAGCTTTAAATTAGATCTCACATTCTCATCTACCACGATGCTGACGACATTAATGTTGGACATCTGACTTTCTGCGTCAATAATTTTCAGAACTGATCGAAATTTGCGTTGATCCACTTTAAGAAAACGAAGAAGCATATAACCGGAGGATAAGAATCAGAGGAAGTGTATGCAGGTTTCCAGAAACATATACCAGATTTCTCTGGAGGCGTTTGCAATGAAGCGTTTCAAAATATAGTTGCATCGTCATACTTTGGTGACAACCATTGCTGCGTGCTTACTAACTCTCCTATATGAATAATTGCATCCAAAAGTCATCCAAGAAAAGTATGGCTACAGTACTTCCTTCCAGCAAATTACTTTGCAATTATAATGAAGCAAGTGATAAAATAGTAATAGTGATATCTCAAGGTCGCTGAGTTGTAATGCATCAAACATGAAAATATGCGCCTACTAGAAGAAAGGCTATAAAGTCACAGTATTCAGACATTTAACAAATTTCAAGCCAGCCGATCACTGCAGATTATTAAAGGACATCACGGTGGTCAATCCAATGCGCCTTTTGCTTGAAGCAATGCATGAACATGTGCTACTATGTTTGCATCCAAATAATACGAAGTATACGCATCTATCTGAAAGCGCTACAGTAACACTTTAGTCATTGTACGGTAAGTGTTCCATCGTTGACGGCACTCAACTGCGAATGTTTCCATTCATACTCATTATGCAAACAATCCATCAGTCGCCAATCTGCTTTTACGGCTGAATGCAACCGCTCTACGACGGTCGGCGAAGCGCATGCATATGCAAGACCAGTTTCAACATGACTGACGTTTAGATCAACCAATTCAGAGTCATCACAACGGTGAGTGTGACAGACGGGATAATCGCTACGTCGATTTGATCACGTGCCATGTCATCACCCTTTTTTGCAGCGACAGAGTAAAACTGAGGTGTCTGCTCAAGCTTCAGCAGCCATGACAACAGCGCGGCTTATTTAATACAACGGGCAGAAATATGTTCCTTCTTCAGGTCATAGCAAAATGGTTGTTGCGACTGCTCATAGCTGTCGATCACAACTGACAAATTGCCGTATCCTAAGAGAGACTTGTAGAACACATCAAAACTTTAGATAAAATTTCTATGCTGATAAACATATTGTATTGCGAGTGTCACATAAATTATACTTCGCTGTATCACAATATAAAAGTGTCAAATTTGCATTAATTAAAGTTCTTGTTTCATTTGTCATTTTTTGAGTGACGATGGTCACTCAAAATCTGCTCGCAAGCAAACGTTAATAAAGTTCGTATCCACAGAAGTGCAGTGCATTTGACAGAAAACAAGATGGCATAGTGTCTAAGTGGTAGGCTTCGAACTGCAGAGGAGGTTAGAGTTCTGTTCTGGAAGAAGAGCAATCCTTGTATTATAGATATATGATTGAACGATTCATGTCTTGAAGCACGAAACGCAGCAGATGGTACGATCTCTATCTACATGCGCCGAAGCGTCACCAGGGCTAGCAGAAACGAGCTCGACTGTGTGAAAGGAAAAAAGAGACTTCACACTGTGCTTGTCACACAGCTGCTGACGACGTTACCTTTGAAAACAGAGCACCTTTCACCGAATGAAGTTGGAATAAGCGTCAGGCCATTAACTTCATGAAAGGAAAAACGCCAGAAATGGTCTCATCATGAAAGGGTAGACCGATGAGCATCGGTTGTAAAATTTGCTTTCCTTTCATTCGAAAGTGAGACTCGATGGTGCATCGCCCTTTTATTTCAGAAACCTGGGTGCTTCCCAGTCAGGTAATCAGTTGGTCTTCCATTGCGTACAGACATCATCCACTTTTAGTGCTTGTGTAGATAGCTTCTTCACATATGCTGTTGTTGCCATTCAGAGCCAAGCTCTAAATTTTGCATGTAGATCAGTATAATGAGTCATAGATGAGGAATCTTTCGTTACATTATCAGTTATTTGGACAATCTGAAAGAGCAGCTCATTTCACTATATGAAAAGAGAAATACATTTACAAAGAAAAAACATTTAGCAGTAATTCTGTCTTGCACATGACGGCGAGTAAATATCTGAAGAAATGGCACTGACAAGAAGATTGCTCTGGACGAGTACGTTTAACTTAACAATTGTAAGCTTGGAATGAACCCAATGACCGCACAAATGTCAAGTAATTAGCAATGCACTTCCCTCATCGTCGACGGTTTGCCACAATCGACCGGAAGTAAGTAATGCAGTGTCATAGCTCGATTTCTTATGAAATCGAGTTAATCGTGTTTATGTGATAACATCGTGGCCGCAAACTGGAAGTTCAAGTGGCCACATGTTTCCGTTTCAAACCGTTCATGGATTCGCCGTTTTTTGCCGAAAGACTCCATATGAGGGTTGGACCTTAGATTTCCAGGTTCATTTGCATTTAAAGCTGATTTGCACATCGTTTTAGGTATGGTTTCAAAATCGCCGAGCTAAATGGCGACGACAGGAGAGATTCGAAATCAGCCCATTGGACGAACTTCCTGCATTGTCACAGAACTCGGCATTTTCTTCAGTTGATTCATGGAACATGTTCAGCGGTGCTCCAAAACACACCGAATACGAGATGGCTTCTTCGGAGCCCGTCTTTAATCAAAGTTCGATACCGCTTCAAAAGACTCCAACCATGAATCCCTTTTCTGTGATGCCACCCACGAACCCGACGTTCGAAAACCCACCAAACTTTCCGTACCTGTGCTCTTTTACGGAAGCCAACTCGGGTGCGATTCCATTCGGTTCTTCGTACCAGTTCACTTATCAATATCCGCTGTTGTTTCAAGAAGGGGCGTATCTCCGCAGTATTCCGCCGAATTACCAAAACATCCACAGCTGACGTTGATCGAATATGTTAACAAGCTGTACTGAATCACTGCTGGAGTGTAAATTATATTAGTTCTACTATAGTCGATGTTCAAGTATAATTCATGACGTTATTCTGTATTGAACAACTCCAGTAAACGAATGTGTTTGACAACTCGTTAGTTACGGCAACATCCTGTACGAGCACCGCGCATGCCGCCGCGTTCAACATAATGCTTGCTGTATCAGTTATATCATCAAGGTAGAGAACAGGGAGCAGTAGCAGTTGATAGTGCGTTCTAGTGGTAGCCCAATTTGAAACGAGACTGTCACCGAGGCGGCTCATTCATTTGTTTGCATCTATTGAATGAATACGTTCTGTTCTGCATCCATGCGTGTGCCGGTTCTAGTCGCGGTGAAGCACTGAACTCACAGATCGTACGAACCGGAAAAAAATCGCCTTTCATTTTCTAACATAAATAAATTAGCAAATCTTTATGACCAAGAAACCAGAGACTACATGCAATAATTGTTACCGAATTGTAGTCATTGCTTTCGACAATTGCACAAACATGGCTAATGATAGAGAGACAGAGATCGATGCTGTTAAATTGCCCCCATCATTCATTGTTAGGAATTCGACCAGAAAACCAGATAATGAATGAACATTTTAATATGCTTCGATGGGATGAGAAAGAGATAAGCATAACTTGCATATGACGGGTAGATATGTCTTCACAGTAAACCTCTTTCTTCCTCGCAAAGCAACACCTTGTGCACTATCATAATCGATCCGTTTTTTTATCCAGTGCTCTCATTTCTGTTCGTCGCAGTATTAGGCGTTTTCTACCTTGTGTCCTGCTTTATTTTCAAGCACATCAAACACATTTCGCCATGACATCAAAAATTAAC